AGATCCGTTTCAGGCCTTCGAAAAAGACGGAAACGTCGAAACGTCAGGCAATAAATATTCCACCTAAAACAGGGTTTCGGCAAAATACTTTTAAACAACTGACACATAATTCCCAAAGTTTTCTTTAGATACAAGCATCGAGCCGCTAATTTACAAGCCTCGCTTGAATGAATCACACGTTAATGCACATACAATTAGCAGCTATTTCCTAGTTTTATCCTCGCCCTGAATATTGAATACGAAAGCGGAAACGTCTTTTTAGGAAGATAGCTTGTATTAACAAGTACCTAGAAAAAAGGAAATAATTGCCCACATCTATTACCCCGTAATTAGGTACATAAAAGCATTTTTTCTAAACAATATTAACGCGATTTTTCGGAAGGCATACGATTATCAGATACCAATCATTGGAGCTTTGTCATGTCATTTTAGATGAGGGGGAATTACGTCACACGTAAAATTAGGGAAAGAAATACAGAAGTGCCTTTCAAGAAGCTTTTGAAGCTGCTTGATGCGTAATCACTAACGAAAACGCTGCATTCAGTGTTCACTTGTAGATTCTACCGTGCACTATAGGATATTTGAAGACTAGTTATCTGCATATCACCTTGCGTGGATCAGATATGTACTCTGAACCTAACCAGAACTTCCTATTCTTGCAGTTTCTGAATAGCTGGAAGGGATCCGCAATTTGCCAGCTACACTAATATACTTTGACTAATGTCACACACATATTCTAAACACATTCGACAAAAACAACATCGAGTATTTTGTAACTTGCATGTAACTGCGCTATTATTATATGTAAATGAAATAAGGTGATATAAAGGTTAGCCCAAGAAAAAGTGTGACACTGTTTGATCGTTGATAACTCTTTTATGACCCTAACTTAGTTTTCCTGCATTTCTTTCGGTTAATATAGGACTGCTGGTATGATTTGGATTTGGCTTCAGCGCTGTGTAAAGCATCATCAACATTGGCCCAAATATAGTCATGCTGATAAAGTTATTTAATACGAATCCAATAATGGCATTCAACGATCACAATAAGACGTTGTGTCAATGTTATGGTAAGTATGTACCGGCGCCCCTAGATCCCTCTACGATTTTACATTGTAATCATCACCAAGTATAAATACTAAAGAATGGAGCAAATCAGGTTTCAGCCAACTCTATTCCAATTATAAGCGAAAATTCCTGATTTCCATCATAAAATAGCAGAATTCTGTCATAAGAATGTTAAGCTCTTACCTCACCACGTGAAACCAACCACGGAGACGATCTGGAGTTGTTTAAGGGATAACTGCTCTAAAATATGGATTTTTAGAGCATTTTATGCTGAAATGTCTCAAAGAATAGAAAACGTACCGTTCTAGTCACTGATTTTAGCGTTGGCACTTCAAGATTCTGCATGAGCCTAGTCGAACTAAGCGAGAGTCTACTGAGTGCCATGGTGAGTGAGGGGCTGGAGTCACAGGTCATGTGGCGTTGATCAGCCAATCGACCGTAACTAAACAAGAAAATATATTAGGAATAGTGATATCTTGATTATGAAGATGAGCGTCGATAATATAAAATTCAGTTATTAAAAATTATTTGTGACGCTCGTTTCATGGAAAAAGAATGGAGGCTCGGCGTTTTCATGCCGATAAATGAATGAGAACTTTTTTAAAGTTCATTTTTGACTGCAAAATTAATTCATTCTCAGAGTTTGTAAGTGCTAAGCTCTACTCACCTTCTCGAAAGAGGTGAGAATGGTATGCGGAAGCTATAGTTCTGCGAAGTGGTGCGATCAATATAGGCAGTGCTGCTACTGGGAGTAGTATTAACAGAGGTAGGCATTGCTTTAAAAGAGACAGTCGGACGACGGACACTTTGTGTTGTCGTGAAGCTCGTTGTTGAATAGAATGCTGCATTCCGACGTGCTATCCTAAACAATTTATTCCAGTAATTTTAAGGCGGGAGAGTTCACCTGGGCAAGTCGACAAAGAATTCAAAACAGAGGGTGGACGAACAGAGACAGAGACAAGAGGGTTGTACACAGTGTTGCACAGAAACTGGAAATGATCGCTAACTTCCTGTACGTATAGAAAATGAGGCCGATGGAGACGATCACCATGAGAATGATAAATGCGAACGCGGAGAGACCTGACTTTTCCACTTCGACTTGGCCCTTGACGGGAGCGAACAAACGTGCTACGAAGTGCAGCTCACATCGGCTGCCCCA